GGGGGAGGGGGGGGGGTAGGGGGAGGGGGTGAGGTAGGGGAAGGGTGTGAGGTGGGGGAAGGGGGTGAGGTAGGGGAAGGGTGTGAGGTAGGGGAAGGGTGTGAGGTAGGGGAAGGGTGTGAGGTAGGGGAAGGGTGTGAGGTAAGGAAAGGGTGTGAGGTAGGGAAGCGTGTGAGGTAGGGCAAGGTGTGAGTAGGGGAAGAGTGTGAGGTAGGGGAAGGGTTTGATGTAAGGGAATAATGTGAGGTAGGGGAAGGGTGTGAGGTAAGGGAATGGTGTGAGGTAGGGAAAGGGTGTGAGGTAGGGGAAGGGTGTGAGGTAAGGGAACGGTGTGAGGTAGGGGAAGGGTGTGAGGTAAGGGAAGTGTGTGAGGTAAGGGAAGGGTCTGAGGTAAGGGAATGGTGTGAGGTAGGGAAGGGTTTGAGGTAGGGGAGGTGTGCGAGGTAGGGGAAGGGTGTGAGGTAGGGAAGGGTGTGAGGTAGGGAAGGGTGTGAGCTTAGGGAAGGGTGTGAGCTTAGGGAAGGGTGTGAGGTTAGGGAAGGGTGTGAGGTAGGGGAAGGGTGTGAGGTAGGGGAAGGGTGTGAGGTTAGGGAAGGGTGTGAGGTTAGGGAAGGGTGTGAGGTAGGGGAATGGTGTGAGGTAGGGGAAGGGTGTGAGGTAGGGGAAGGGTGTGAGGTAAGGAAAGGGTGTGAGGTACTTATTAACATTTTTAAAAAAAAGCCGAAACTAATCCAATAATATAATCTGATTTTCCTATTCATCAAATGTTTAATTTTGATATTTATTTTCAAATAAAACAATTATAAAAAAGTCTCTTCGCTAAGTAATCTTATCAGTTTTGTCCATGTGCAAATACATACCATGAAGTATACTTACTATGCATATAATAGTATCGTTTTTCCGATGTATAACACGCACCTCCCCTTCCATACACGTCTAAAATATAGGGTTTGCCTTGGTTTATCCAGCAACGTAGGGAGAGGCGATTTGCTGTTGGGAATTTGCCTATAATCCTAGAAGAAAAATCCCAGGCTTTGTGGATTTCGCCCTGCGATGTCCACACCATCGTCACCATGTGACGAACGGATGCCAGCAAAAAAAAAAAACAATTTTTTTTAAAAATGAATCTATATAATTTCAGAAGAAAAGGTTTATATTAAAAGCAAAAGAAACAAAAAAACGTTCTGATTTAATTGAGCATGGTTCAGCATAGATTTTGTTGGGCATGCAATCATGCTCAGGCTAACATTAATCATTTTATTATATGTTTAAAGACGATTTGTCAAATGTTGATATTCCCCATAGTAAATTAGGCCAGGGAAAGGTATGCGGGTTGACTTCTTTGTATGAATGAGCTAACATTTATAGATTTTTGTTTTTCAACAAAAGTCATATCCAGTGTATTGAGAGATGTTGAGCAAATAATTAAAAACAAGGCATACATTTTTTAATGAAAAAAAAGTTTGATAATAAAAATATAACTAGAATTGAAAACTCAGGTATCATCCTGGCATTTGCAAGTCACTTATTTTACATCATTAGAAATCCGTGAGAGCTGTACAAGTGTCTTCATTTTATAGCAATCACAAAGTTTTGATCAAATAAATGCGTTAAATCAGGACTGGTGAGGTATTTTTACACTACAAACCAATTTGTATGTGAGTGTAAACATATTCAAGTAAGTCATCTTCATAGTGTTTTTAACGTTCAAATAATATTGTAAAGCTAATACCTTGGATTACATAAGTTCTATTTAGGCAACATCTGAGTTTCACTATTTTGGAATCCATTGCTTCTGCAAAAGAGGGGGGGGGGGGGCGCTCTCTATATTTAAATGGGCCAAGAAAATGACTTTTTAATATTGTAAAGCTAATACCTTGGATTACATAAGTTCTATTTAGGCAACATCTGAGTTTCACTATTTTGGAATCCATTGCTTCTGCAAAAGAGGGGGGGGGGGCGCTCTCTATATTTAAATGGGCCAAGAAAATGACTTTTTAGCTTTGAATGCAGGGGTGCAAGATCGAACGGGGCCAGGTAACATCCAAAGGTCACATGGGGCTCTGGGAGAATACAATTATAAAGATGAACTATAAGGTACGATTCTTTTATTGATCCAAGCAAATGGAAATGTGCTTTGATTCCACTGTACATTTTCAGTATATAAATAAAACTATTGAAACACATTACATCTACCTTAAATTATTTCACGAATGGAAAAAACCCAGCCATTCAGCGAACTCTCTTAGTCATATTGGGACTTATTAGTTGTCATTTAGTGACTTCTAAGGGCGCACGCTGGTAAATTCGAAAAGATGGGGGAACAAAAGAATTTCTATATCTTTCAATCCTCACCACAAATGGCCCGTTCTAAGTATCTGTGATGCATCATCCAAAATGTGTTTAGTTTTACAATAACATCTTTTTTCAAATAGTTCTTCAAGTGATGGATGTTTAGTTCGTGTTATGTTTCTAGCTTTCTTGATTAGTCTGTTTATAGTTTATACGGTGTTTAATATCAGACGTTGAATTCCCACACCAGCTGCCAATACTGACATGTAGTAGGCTTCCAATTATTGCACTGAAGAATAAGTTAACGACTTTTTTTTTGTTTACGCCGAAATTGTATAGTGCTCATGCGATGTACGCTTATTAATAATGGTGACACCTAAGTACTTTTATGCCTCTACTTTGATTTGTTTATGTTGAGGTCTGTAATCTGGTTATTTCCCCCTCCGAAAATAAAATATGATACGATTCTTTTTTTTCTTTACTTAAATAAATGGAGATATTTTTTAAAATTACATTATGATTATGCAAATCCATTTTAGCACTAAATTGCATAAGTATTAGCCAAGACAACATTTTACAACTAAAGCAAATTTAACACATCTCAAGTATTGCTCTGACGTAAAAATTTTCCACCACATACCTTAAATACAACTTCCTTAGTGACCGTAATGACTTAATTAGTTTATCATTTACATTTGGTGAAAGGGGGGGGTGTGTTAGGGTTGAGGCTTTCAAAGATCTGATCAAGGTAAGTTACTTATCTGGAAGGAGGCGAACTTCTGTAGATCTACTGATATTACTATAAAATTTTTTCGGACTTTATCAGAGTGGTCACTATGCTAACACGACAGGTCTACAGCACTTGCAATCGATGCTGTAATGGGCCCATATTTTAGTCACTCCGTAAAAAAGTAAAAAGAAAACTCTGCTGCTGGTCGAAGGTCCCACCTCTCCCTCAAGTGCGGTGTACAGTGCCCCCCCCCCCTGGAGTTAGGAACGAACCTGTACAACCCTTCCCTACACCATCGTCTGAAATGGCGTCATTTAAAAAAAAAAATATTTCTTCAGCCAAATCTACAGCTTCTGAGCAGATGTTATAGCTGCCTTCCTGAACTATGAATGAGGCAGGAGAAGAAAAAAGTTGATACATTTCTTTATAGTAAACTGTCTTAGTGTGAATGATACAAATTGGTCTATTTATAAATTAATGTTAGAGATCCAAATGAATGATTTACTTTCATGACCAGAGGATTGATGTTATGTTATCGACCACTTCCGCTGAGAAGTTTTGAGAACCTTTGGAAATATGTCTAGTCTTAATGTCATAAATATTGACGACAATGGCAGTGGGGCTAATTTAGCTATCAACCATCAGGATTTTACAGCTGTTACAACATTAAAAACTCAACCTATTGGTCTCTTTAATCTAAGGTTGAATATAGAATATATCAATTAAAGGACTGCTTTCAAGCTTAGTAAATGAATGAAATAGCAAAACGAGGTATGTGGAAGCTTGAAATAAGAGAACAGGACAAAAAAAAACAAGGGTAAGTGTAAGGGTAAGTGTAAGGGTAAGTGTAAGAGTAAGTGTAAGGGTAAGTGTAAGGGTAAGTGTAAGGGTAAGTGTAACGGTAAGTGTAAGGGTAAGGTAAGGGTAATGGGTGTGAACCATAATTACAAGCCACACAGCCAAACTCAGCAGTTACCACGTGATATCAGTCGGCGATGTAGCCTGCTCATTCAGCGCGAGGCAGAGATCAGAACGCAGAGGTCCTTGAATGTGCCGACACGCACGGTATGATATCCAATCCCAATATCCAAGTGCAGCAAAGTTCATGTTCAAGTTCTTAGACATTTTCATGGGTGTAGAAAGAAAACAGGGCACCGTCTCACAATTATGCATTAATAAATTCAGACATCGCATGAATATAATCAGATCTTTGGATTTGTTTTAGGAAACACGCACTTAACCTCTTCAGTTTTTCTAACGTCTTTTGAAATCGCATTTAGGCTTCCCAGCAAAGATTAAATTGATTCTGATTTCATTGTATTTATAACCTGCCTTGGACTATCCCCTAATAAATTCAAATTGAGATTGTGATGACATTCAGCAAAAGAGAAACATGCTTTATATTGTCCAGGGCGCTTTATCTCAAATTTGAGAACTATTTCGAGGCACGTGTACCGGATCGCCGGGGAACCCCAATGTGCCATGGCACCACCTTAAAAAGCTGTGAATTTAGGCAGGTCATTTACACTAACATAAAACATTCTGCATTCTATTGAAACTTGTTTGTAGTGTCGAGGAAAGACAGATTTAAAAGGACCCAAAACTTTGCCAAGTCGTGACAACATTTTATAGAA